AATATGTAAGTCTTGGAGGATTTCTTTGTACCTTAAAGGAAAAAAAAAACCCCAAGAAACTCCTTATTGAACTCTCTCGTATAATAAGAGGAAAGAAAATTAACTGTTTTGCAGCATTCCTTAATAATGCTGAATTACTGCCCCAAGAACACTGTCATGCACTTTGACTCTCCTGCAGAGAACAGTCCAAAAAACCAGATAAAGCTCAAAAATTGTCTTCTAGACCTGGCCAAGCAAGTTAAACTGAAGAACCCAATATTAAAACTGTGGGAAAGGAGATCAACACTGGAGTATGGAAATATTTCAATACAGGCATAGTAGTGTTATCCATTCTGTAATAAAGACTGGACCTTTGCAACAAGATTGGCTGATCTTCATGTGTGGGATAGGCTGTGGAGAGGAGTGTCTTGAGGTCTTTCAGGGAAGATTTTTTTGTGTAGAATTTTAGGGAATCATTTCTCTGTAAGCTCCTTTCTTTGTGTTATGTTCCCGTTAAGTCAGCAGCAACAAGACTTTGATCTGTGAGGAAAATAAGCTGTGACAAGTATCTTCAACTTATAAAATTTCCAGCTTTTGTTGTTGAAGCTGTTGGTAGGTTTAGAAAGACACATAAATGCTGACAAAAAAACAACTTTATGAGTAGGGCAGGTTGAATGTGTTTATAATTTGATTTAGAGAAGTTATGTAGGCTTAGCTATGCTGTCAGTTTTCCAGTTCTAAGGCTATTGTACATCCTCTAGCCCAGATGGGTTAGCAGAAGATTGTTAGATTTCAACATTTTCACAAAATGCTGTGTTTCAAAATGCACTCAAAACCCTCTTGTGGGTTGCTGGTCACTATAAACTATACTCTGTGGATGCAGAGTTATTTCTTGTTGGAAATAACTTGTTAGTCCTTGGATCAAAATAGAGAAGAAATGTCCATCATTGAAAAAACTGCCTTTGTTGCACAGGTGGGTCTAGGTTGTGTTCTCCTTCACTCCCCTTACACAGCTATTGCAAATCAACCTTGTAACTCATTGGACACTCACCCATACACCCACCTTGAATTTTAGTATTCTGTGGTGGAATTGGATCTTCCCAAGTCTGGACATTGTGAACTAAGATGCCTGTAGACTAGAAACCTGCAAGTTGCCTTGGAAGGTCAAGATCCTGACATCTTGTGCAGGGACAGCACTGATGTGTGTGCTGGGAATCAGCTTGCACTTCATCTTTGCTTTGTTGTCCCTACCCACAACTTTTGACTGATCAAAGTTCAGTTTATCCCACTCTTGACATTTGTATGTAATACAGATAAGCTGTTCTGTTCAGGATCGTGTGTTTAAGTTTCTTCTTCCCCCCCTTTTCTCCCTCTGTTCACAACAGCTTTTGTAAATATAATGGCATAAATTCAGTTATGATGTAAAGGACTCATCCTTAGAGGGTAAAAGGAAAATCTGGTGGAAATAAGATTGTGACTAATTGCAAGACTGAGGCAAATGGCTAAAAGTGCTTAGATATTTCATGAAACTGTTTCTTTTGCTCTATAACTTCTGCTGAAGTGATGCTTGCAGCACTTTGCTATTGTTGCTGTTGCCACTTCTGGAAAATAAAAAGTAATGTGGAAGTCAGAATAAACTTTGGAGTTTCTAGCAAATATCTTTTTTTTATTTTTTGTCACTGAAATTCTGTTTGTGGCATTGTTAGGGGGAAGAGTATCTTGCTGAGGCTTTTTGTTGATTTTGCAATTTTTCCTGAAGAGGGTCAGGACCGGTCTGACTTCTTCTGTAGATATGCTTCTGTTGTCCTGTATTTCCATGTATTTGTGTGAATGTATTTGCTTTGTTGTTTCTTTTGGACATATCTTGGGTCTTTGTATCTTGGAATGTCTTTTTTTTTAGCAAGTTTCCATGCCAGAATCAGTGCTTATGTACTTAAGGTATTATTCTAAAAATGCTTTAAGATTAAGTGGAAATGTCAAAATGGAGGCTAAAAGTGACTGTTAATTTAGGAATCTGTGTTCAGGATTATGTTTTTCCTCCAAATAGATTGTGAGGGATAGGACTGAAGAGCAGTCCCCAGATTTGACCAGGAATAGCTTTTGGTGGCGGGCTGAATGTCAAACCAGACTATCTGGAGGATATGAAGGAGGAGGAAGTTAAACCCAGAATGTAAATTGCATGTAGAAAAGCTGAGAAGATGATCAGATGGGATGGCAGATGATTAGAGAAGTACAGCTCTTGTGCCCAGTTCTGCCCATCAACACCAGTGTTCTGTGGTTTCATTTTCTCACACAGCGCTTTACTTTTTCACCTCCTTTTTGAGAATAAAACCTAAAGCTGAGCCTTGCAAGCATTTTTCTACATATCAGAAAGGACTACTTACACTTGAAAACAAAATTTATTATTTTTTTTTAACTACCGTACACCAGAGATATTCCCACCCTGCCCAGCAGAACGGGTGAACAGCCAAACGTATGAGTTTTTCCTTTGATATGAAAATATTTCCCCAGCTCTTACAAGGACTTAGAGCTTTAGTTTGCAAGATATCATCCCTGTTGTTAATCCCATCTGTACTCTGTGGGATCTCTCAAGTGACATACCACTAACATTTGAGGTAAAAATAGGCTGTTTTGCTGAGTGATGGTAAGGAACAGCAAGATTTTTACTGGTTAAAGTTATCACATACTCATACTCATTTACATGCCACTCATGCTGACCTATATCAAATAGCAGAAAACTGAGAGTAGGTACTAGGAGATTAGAGGAGAACAGTTCTTTATGCTGTGTAAGTCAATGCTTGAATCTTCCAGATAGATGCAATGTAAAAGTGGCTTTTTATTTTATTTTTTCTTTTTTTAGGATTTCTAGGTTTTTACGACAATTTTTATTCACTATATGAATAAAACCTGTGATTTAAATCAATATTAAAGTATTGAGAGATGAGCAGCAGGTGAGAGATGCCTCTTCATAGCATTGTGTGGTTATTTTATGCAGATTGATGGGGTGGTATTTGAAAGAATGACATTTTTCCCTTCAGTTTATTTGAGAGATGTATTGAAATTATTGATCTGGCTTTAAATATCCATTAATGTCCTATTAGGTTTTACAAATGACTCTTGGGTTTTCTCTGTGTGTCTTGATTATTTTTTTCCGCCTGCTATGGTAACAAAATACTAATTTCAAGTAAAGGTTTTGCAATATAGATGTGAAAGGCTACCTTATCTTCAGAATCGTTAACCATCCTGCCTGGCACTTTGCTTTCATTCTTAGTTTTGCTTTCAAACCTGTTCCTTACTTACTTCCCACTCCCTGCCAAAGAATCCAATTAGCCTTGCTGCAGGTCATGTGTGTAATAAATACAACCAGACCCAGGAAGAGCCATTGCCTCCATAGCCCCATGGCTGGAGCTGGTGGCATTTAAAGCACACACATATACATACATGAAAAAATAGCACCTTTGCTCCATGGAGTCTTTATTTATACAAAGTGGAGCAAACTTGTGAGGAGAGCGTGAGCCAGAGCCGCCGTGCTGCAGCCACTGGTCATTTTCCTTGGGAAGTGGGATGTTGTCATTCACATCTGATTTAAACCTGCTGACTGCCATGAATGCTAAGCTGTTACCTTTTCATAGCTGTTACCTTTCCTGTTATAAGCGTTCTGGTCAAGATCTTTTGTAAGGTAATTCTTGATTTTTCCTCTACATTAGGTATCTAAAACATTGCACAGAATTAGTTTACACTAGGTGGGAACAAAAGATGAAAGATCTGTTTTACTTCACTTGGTGACAGCTGTGGAGCTTTACTAAAGCAAATTGTTTAATTTAAAATTTCTCAACCTGAGACTGAAGTACCTGTGTGCTCAGTAAGCAAATCCTTTGTGGAAGATGCTGGCTAAAACCACACGTGATGAGGAGAAATAGGTGGTGGCAATGCAAAGGTGTCAGGTTTTGGCTGGCACAGAGTTAATTTTTTTTTCTAGTAGCTGATACAGTGCTGTGTTTTGGATTTAGGGTAAGAATAATGTTGATAACACACTGATGCTTTAGTTGTTGCTGAGCAGTGCTGACACAGAGTTAAGGCCTTTTCTGCCTCACCCTACCCCACCAGCGAGTGGGCTGGGGGGGCACAAGAAGCTAGAAGGAGACACAGCTGACCCCAGCTGGCCAAAGGGATATTCCATAAATTATGGCATCATGCTCAGCATATAGGGTTGGGGGGAAAGCTAGATGGAGGCTGCTGCTCAGGAACTGTCTAGACATCATTTGGCAGGTGGTAAGCAATTGCATTGTGCATCACTTGTTTATTATTATTATTATTATTGTTATTATTATTACTATTTTTTACTTCTTTTCTGTCCCATTAAACCTTCTTTATCTCAACCCACAAATTTACTTCCTCTCTCCTCCAGTTCTCTCCCCCCTTCCACTGAGGGAGAGTGGGCAAATTGCTGTGTGGTGTTTAGCTGCCTGCCACGTTAAACAATGACACAGGGGTACGAGGATTTATTTGGGTTACCATTAGAGGAACTGGGACAATCCATCAGCAAGCAGCTGATGGGGAGGCAGAACAGCAGCCGTCCTGCTGGCGGGAGCAGCCGGCTGGTTTGGTACCTCCATCTGGCCCATCCTGCCCCACGTGTGCTGATGGAACCCACTGGGGAGGATGGGGGAAGCAGTGGTGAAATTGCTGCTGCTTCTGCAGGGCAGTGCCTGTTTCCAAACCTGTAAAGGATCTTGCAGATGCTTGATGGTAATTGCTGTCTTGCCCCTATTTTATGCCTGTGGTCTGTAATTGATGGCATGCAGTGTTTAAATTGAATATATCTTGTGTAAGACCTGCAGGATACAGTGTGGATGCTTCAGCCTCGGTGATTGCATAAAATAATTAAACCATTTTTTAATAGGAAATGATCATTGTAAGTACGATTAGAAGTGTTATTTTGAAATGCAAGTTCTTTAAAAGAAAATCCTTTTTCTTGTCTCTTTTTCTTTAAAACAAAACCCGTTTCTGCTGGTGAACAGGCATCAGAGGAAGTGTCAAAATCTCTGCAAGCAATGAAGGAAATTCTGTGTGGGACCACAGACAAAGAGCCACCTACAGAAATTGTGGCCCAGCTGGCGCAAGAGCTATACAACAGTGGCCTTCTAGTGACGCTTATTGCCAACCTGCAGCTGATAGATTTTGAGGTAGGTCAGCATCCATAAACCTTTTCAACTTCTTGGTTTCAGTGTTGTCAGTGAGCAGAACCGTATTTTTGTGAAATCTAAATAATTTTATTGCATTCAAAACTAATTTTCACGCGCTGAAGAAAGCAGCTGCTCTAAATCGGTCGGTGCCTTGAAAGATGTGGTCACACACTGGCAGTAAATAAAATACATGTGATTGGTTTTTTATTAAAACAAAAACAATGACAAGATATTACCATGTGTATCCAAATAAGATAGGAAATGATGCTGAGAATACTGTCTAGGACTGACCTTGTAAGCTGCAGTGATAAAACTCTTTGAGATAGTGCAGCTGTCAGACTCACTGTCTCTGAAGAGTATGTCTGATTTAGAAAGGGTTCAGGGACATGGAATAAAAATAATTAGAAGAATGGGAAGATCTCATGTGGCAAAGACTGAAAAAAATTAGAATAGTTTAGTTGAGAGGAAAGGAGTTGAAAAATCTGTTAAAAACTCACAGCAGGGTAAATTGGGTGGCCCTCACTTAATTGTTTGGATTAAAAGAAGAAAGGAATATAACTTTTTTAGAAGGATTAATCTGAATCTATTATATAATTTAATTATATATATATACATATATATAATTATGTATTTTGTGGAACTTCTTACCAGCTTTATTGTTAATATCAAAAATGTAGTAGACAACTGCTAAGACAACTATGTTTGCTTATAAGTAAGAAGAAGAAGAGTTACAGTGGAAAAGACTGCAGTAATTCAGCATAGATATAAACCCTTTTAACTGATATTTGTCTGGTAGGGACTGGGAAGAAACTTTGTCAGTTCATTGTAATATTCCTGTGGTCTGCAGTCAGCTGGGATAGTGTCCCCCCAGGGACTGCTGTTATGAGTTCTGTGATTTATGTGGCTCCTGGCTGCTAGTGAATTGTTACAGGTGTCCAAGCACCAGAGAGAAATCCCCAGCTCCCAAGAGCCAAACCTCCACCACTGAGGTCTGAAGCAGGAGCAGTACCCAACCTATAGGCAGACACTGAACTGACAAATCGGTTTCTCAGAGAGATCTTCTGATGCTCTCAGAGCCCCCCTTTTGTGGGAGTCACTTTCTTGTGGAAGTTTTTTTTCCTTATATTGAAGTTATTTTCTTTCCATTTTGTACTTGAATGAAAGGGAGAAACAATGGAAGACTTATGTTTTCTTTTTTTCCCTTTCTTCCCCCCACGCCCAGTAAAGCTAGAATTCAAGGACTTATTTGTTTATATTGTATTAATTTTTGAAAGTGTTGTTAGTAGAGTTCTCTCACTCTTTTCTCAGGTCTTAAGTTTAGGAGGATTATTTTAATACTAGAATTTATTGAGAACTTTTCCTTTGTCTTTTCCTTGACACCTCTGGTTACTGTTGTGTCATAATTGCAAAAATACTCAAACCCCATCAACCCAAACCCCTAAAAACTTTTTAAGAAAAAAGGAGATGGGGGAGGGGAAGATACTGTCAGCACAGAAGGGACAGTACCGCATTTTTTTAATTTACATGACAGTCTGTATTGCTTCTATCAGAAAAAAAAAATCTGTATGGACATATTGAATGCACAGTCCTTAAATGCAAGCACTGAATAAAATATCTAATCTGTTGCTGAATTACTGTTATTACAATTTTAATGATTCTAATTGCAAAATAGATTTTCCCATGATAAAACTTTTCCAACCATTTAGCAAAGCTGTTATACATACTCTTTTGGCAAAACACTAGAAACAAAATGCCATCGAACAAGAGGATAGTAAGAGTATGTGCTGCTTTGTCTTCATATGCCCACTGACTTCTCCAGTTTATGAACTCTTCTGCTTCCATTTTGTTATATTGGTGGCCACAGCTGGTATTTTGGTTTCTTTGTTTAAGAAGCAATTTCATCACTCTATAACATGCAAATTGTTTTTTTGATCCATACATAATGGTAGAAGGCAAAATCATAAAATACATAAATTTCCAAAGGAAATAATGTTTCTGTAGGTTACTTTGTTTTGTCGTGACTCCCTGTCTACTCCTCAGTGACCCTGTTGCCCACTTGGATCTCAGTTTTTCACAGCTGTGCTTCCTTTTGACTATGTGTTTTCAAAGACTGTGTAGGGGAGACACACACATCCATCACACATCCATAGAAAACACAGCTTTATTACTTCTGCCACTCAAGAAACATGGTTTAATTTTGGTGATGATATTGTTAAGAAGCACTAAAGTTGGGTTTGGGCGGGAGCTCAGAATCAAAATCAGACTGAATTTTTAGAAACTTATAATACGAAATTTACTGTTGAACTTTGAAGAACTGGGGAAAGTGTACACACTGAAAAAGTCAACTAAAAATGTAGATGTTACTAACTGCGTGTAAGCCTAAAGGCTCACAAGCTGTATAGACTCTAAAATAGGCAGTAAATAACTGCAAGCCTGGTACTGGTTATGTTAGAATCTTTCCCTTACTTTACCTTGAAATGGGAGCTAAGTTAAGGGATAGGTATCATGCAATTTGTTATTTATATGACACATCCTTGGCAGTTTTTCTTGTTCATGTCTAGGCACTTTCTCTTCATGCTGCCTTACCTTGTGCTTCAGTGGCCATATATATTTCATTATAAGGCAAAACTGAATTGCAGATCCAAGTAAGAAGTATTTCAAAAGTATTCCTACAATTTTCATATATGGTGGTGAGGGAAGTCTGTCTTGGTTCCCTCGTATCTGCCTCCACTCCCTCCTGGAGAAGCCAGGGAGATTTGCCTTCATGGATCTCTAGAAAATGAGATATAATTGCATACATATATATCTATATCTATCTATTTATCTTGTCTCCTCTCTGCTATTGCATCTAATGCTGCAATGCACCCAATATTAAGTAACTAATATAAAATTTGACATAGCAGAGAGGATCACTAAATTTTTGGCCATCTTTACCTCACTCTTTCAACAATCCTTCTTTATCTGGATTGGTTTCATCTTGGAGTACCTGCTGAAGCCACTGGGGATCACAGGATTCCAGGCATACAATAAGAATGTTTTATAGATGGAGGAGAATGGGATGACTTTATACAGAATTAACCTAATTGAAAGGATGTCCAAGGGTCAAAAAAAAGTGTTGCAGATAAAGGCAGATGGCTTGGCCTGCTCTGATTTGATTCTCCTGTTTAATTCCCTGAGTCCCCAAATCTCTGAGTCTCCAAGCCAGATGGGCTGGAAAAGCAGAATATTTTGTGTTTCTCAGCAGTGATTTATTTGTAGAGGTGAAACCAGGGAATTCTCCTCTGTGTGAAACTATCTGCTCCTTGGCTTCAAACATTCAATAAGTTCTCTGCCAAGGAATGTTTGTCCTCCCAAGACAGATCAATGAGCATGTACAGATTACAAGTAACCTTTTGCTTTATCTTACCCTGTGCATAGTGACCTGCTGTTGACTCAGTGCCTTGGTTGCTGGTCATTAGTGCGGCAGTCTCTCCCCTCCCTTAATTTCACTCATCAATTTGTCTGCTGTGGCCAGGGGGGAAAGTGATGGGGGAGGAAGAGGATTTCTAATGCAAGATGTATTGGCAAACCTTGTGGTTGAATAGAACATAATTTGAAAAGACTTTCTGAAAAGCTGTTTGCACAGAGAAGCTTTTGAAGATAAAATATGATTATGTAGGTATGTGTATACAGGAGGAAATTAAGACAAAGTGAAAGATCTTAGTTGTGACTAAAGCAGAGGCATATATATGAGGCAGCCATTTTATCGGTAGTAATTATTTAATTTTTCATGGTGTAATAGTGAGCACAGTCTAAATTGAACCCTGATTTTCAGAAACCCAATCACACTTGGTATTGTTTGCATTTAACTAATGCAAAGCTTTAGCCTTGTGGGTCAAGGCAGTGGGGCAGTGTATTAATACTAGCTTGACAACTTAAATTTGGGGGCTACGGGAGCAATAGTACACACTGCAAAAACATGTTTGACTCAGGGTAGTGGCTTGCTTTTATGGTGTTTCAGTGTTGCTATTTAAAATAGCCAGGGACTTGCTTTACAGAATAAGAGGAATGCATATCCTCATTTAGAAAAAGAAAGGTGTAAATGGAAGAGGGGTGATCATTGTTTTCAGAGCCACCGACAAAGAACACCTTCTTGTGACATTGAAGAAACAACAAATGAGATAGTGAGGCTGTGAAGAGCCCAAAAATACCTGAAGCTAACTTGTTCTGTTTGCAATTTCATTTCTACTTTAAATAGATATTATAGTAAATGGTCATTTGTCCATGTTTTTCTAAGCGAAGATATATTTTGCTTTTTTAACAGGGCAAAAAGGATGTTTCCCAGATATTTAACAACATCTTGAGAAGACAAATCGGCCCACGCAGCCCTACAGTGGAACACATTAGTGCCCATCCGCATATCCTATTCATGCTTCTAAAAGGGTAGGTGCTTTAATTTTATTTCCATTAAAGAGCATTGCTTGGAACATGCCAGCATTGCAGTTGATCTACTTTCTCACTATTAATTTTTTTTAAAAAAAGATTTTCAGGTCTTGTTCTAGATTTCTTGTTTTGTTTCTTTCGTATTGACTTTCTTTCTATGTAACTGTATACTTTTTATTGACTGGATTATTTTATTTGACCATTATTTCTTTGCCAAACTTCATGTTGAAATAATTATGTGCTGATTGTTTTTGACTGCTCCCCATGTAATGTGTACTTCAGTTCTTGCCCTAAACTCTTGTGTAGCATTGTTGACGAATGCTGAGTTTCATTTAGACATTTTTGCATTGCAAGAGTGACCAGCAGGGGTGTCTGTAAATAACTAGAGTCAAACTGGACCACTGTGTGGTAGAACAGAGAGAAGCAAAAATGCATTAAAAGAGTAGTTGTGCCTGTGGGACAGACTTCTCACACAATACTTGTGGCCACAAGTGAACTTCAGTTTAAGTTGTTAATTAATTCTGTAATTAACTTCACAACTTTCAGCATTAAATTTTTTTTTTTTTTTGGTCTTTTGACCTTGGGGACTCAGAACCTGGTGGTTCCCAAGATAACTTGGTCGAGGAGAGGGAATAGATTCCTGTGTGGAGAGGACATCAGCTGTAGTTGTATTCAGGAGTGCACAAGTATTGACCTAAAGCACATGAGTTTTTTGTCCCCTTTACTTTTAACTAAAAGCACCTTTTGTTCAGTAACCAGTTTTGCTTTTCCAGCTCTTGAAGTCTACTGTTTTCTGCTCAATTTTCTTTTGACTTTGGGATTTCGTTTATTTTTCCCTAAGGAAAAGAGAATATATGTCATTTGGATTAAATAACTGATGTGGAAATAAGTGCATTTATTAGCTGCTCAATTTGAAACAATGTGAACTCTCATAGTAGCTCTATGATCACACTGGCAGCAGCCATTCAAAACCTTTTAAACTAATAGTTCTTAAGAGAATGATTTTTTTTAAGTGTCTTTCTTGCTCTTGAGATTAAGGATTTGCATTTTTACCATTTGCTTCATAGCCAGGAAAATACTTTAGCATCATCTAAGGATTGTGCATGACAAGGCTGCAGCCCCAAGGGTAAAATTTCCTTCAGCCAGCCTCCCCTCTCTCTCAGGAGCAGACCACAGCCAGGAGAAGGATAAGCGCAGGAATCCTCTAAAATGTGTTTCCTTTGGAAGCGGCCACATTCCAGCACATCTGAGTAAGGGAAAAGTAACTGAGAGAACTAGTCACTACCATGGATCTCAAGAACAGTGAGCTTGTGGTTGAGTGTGGTGGCGAAGCTCTTGGCCACTGCTTTCCTGGCAGGGCAGAGTGGTGGTAGCCCATGCAAGTGTCTGGGCTGAGCTGGGTCTTGCTCTTACAAGTATAGTGATTTGTTGTGATTTAGCTTCAGTGTTGAAACTCTTGACTTGTTTTGAGTTCCTAAACACTGGCTTGCTCAGAAAAGAAACAAGTAAGCTAGTTAAAATGGATTTTGGTTTCATTAGTTCATTAAAAATCACTATTTATATAAACCTCAAAGTAGTCGTTTTGGGACAGTAATGATAATTCTCTCCATCATTGTTACAACTTCAATTTCAATTTCATATATAGATTCAATCATTTTTTCCCCTTTTCTCTGTCTTTGCTTTTTCAGTTTTTCACTCATTTTGGTTTTGCATGTTGTGCATATATTGCTACCATATGTATGAGCTTTATTTAAAGATAAAAAATATTTTTAGGTCATGACCCAGATTTTCTTTGGCATCTGTAACAACCAACAACATTAAGATGATAGTAAAGTTTTTATGTTATGCATATGTGCTGCTGATGGACATTTTACTGCAAGTGACCTCTCTCAGCGAATGTATTTAAAAGGCATCACTTAGGTGCTTTTTTGGAGATCCCTGATGCATGCAGCAGCATGTCAGTGTTAGTTTGGTCCTCAGGCTCCTTGTTTGTGATTTCTTGACTAGCTCTCTGCAGCACTGCACTGTATCAGAATTGCCATTTCTGGAGTGTCTTGTTAGAAAGTGCTGTTGAATTCATCAGCAGAAGTCCAGAAGTCAGTCCTGTCCAGCCCTGACAGTAGTGCCTGAGCAGCTACTGCAGAACAACCTAGTGATGTCAAACATGATGATGCCTTATCTGCCTGTGTCCTGCTGCTGGGACTGTCTAAAAATGATTCTTGAATTATGTGCCTACAGCAAGAGCAGGCCCTGAACACACAACTAGCTGCATGCCCACAGTGTGCAATGCGTGTGTGCAGTGGGAACTGGGAAACACACACCTTGTGTTAGACACCATCACTTCAAAATGTAACTTGAAGATGTTTTCATATTTATTTAATGCTAAATGCATTATATTGTTTATATTAGATAAAATATATTTATCTAATTAGATAAATATATATTTATCCAATGTTAAATGAAATATAGGAAATCAGAATCTACTTAAAGGAAAGTGGATTTGGCTGACTTGTACCATTCCCTTTTGTTACATTACATCATGACATTACCTGAAGAGAAAAAAAAAACCCATCTCTATCATGACTGTAGAAGAAATGGCCCAGGACTATTGTGAAGGCTTCTCATAGTTTTACTTCTGTTGGATGCAAAGTTTCCTCTCCCCACGACAGTTCCCAACAGCAAAAGGTTGCATTTTTGTGGCTTAATGCAAGAAGGATCCTGAATCAGAGATCACACCCAGTATTTCCTGCCTAATACTGCAGCGGCAGTGCCAGCTTTAGATAACTGTTCTTACCTTTTAGGCTTCGTTTTACTTGTTGCCTGCTTCCTTCCAGCTTCTTGGCTTCAGAAAACACACAGCACATAGTTCCCTACTTTTCTTTTTTTTTTCACTTTCTTTCATTTTGGTAGGTTATTTGACCTTCCTGCTGCAGGAGGACTTGGTTTAATAGTATCTTATTTTCTGTGTGTGCAGGCTTTGTTTTATGAGTAGGATTTCAAATGAGTAGAAATCTGGTGCATATAGAGAACCTGACGTGTTTGGGCCAGTTTTTTTCTCTGGCATCAGCGTATTGCATTAGCCCAGACATAACTCTGGTCCCTTGCAATTTAGAATATTTTTCCCTCCCATACAGTGACTGTTGAGGACTTCATTTATGGGACTTGCATTGTTTTTCTCTAGTGACAAATTTATAAGCCCTTTTGTGAATATATATATCAAGCCACATGCTATCTCAAACCTAGACACTGCTCTGATGTGTGTTGTGATGACCTCTTCATATCACAGTGCAGTTAAAGCTTTAATGGTATATTGGCAGAATTCCCCTTGAGTTTATCTTCGGATATACTAGATTATCCAGGCCATACAAATTAATGTCAAATCAGATCAGAATATATGTTTGTTAAGACCTGGTGTCTCCCAGGCTTGATGCCTTCCTAATCTCCTGTTAGAGCTCCTCACCTCGTACTGTCTTCTGCACTAACCATGCAAGAATGATTCCCTTTACACTGAGACCGTCTCTGCTCTGTCTTACCTCTTTCAACCTCCACTGCAAGTGTTTTGAAATATTTCAAGTCCATCGTTTCATTATCTGGTTGCCCCCAGTAGTCACTGAGTGAGGGTTTGTTTAGGTTGTAAGTTCATCCAAACAGAAGAACTCGATGGTTTTTTTCTGCTGTGGAAAAACATCAACATAGAGCACTAATTGCTCATTAGAAGTGATTTTCAAAAACATTTCTATCGTTCCTGCCTGGTGGCTTTGCATGTAAGTGTGGATGCAGAGAACATGCTAGTTATGACTGGGCAGCCTGTAAACTTCTTCCAGGCATATTTCAGGAGCCAAACCCAACTTTCCTTGCTTATATGAACAGCCAAAGGTCCATAACCCACTTCCAGATAATGGAGCATTTGACTAAGAATGATTCTGTTGATACTTAATGTTTTTAAAAGTTATTGTGTTGGAAACAATGTAATTTGCTTTTATTCCAACCAAAATATTCATTAGCCAACTACTAAATATTTTCCTGGCTGCACTCCTAGGAGCAGCTCTCCCTCTTTTTTTTCCTTGAAAATAGTGTTCCTGTTAATGGAGTTGATGCTTCAATGGGATATATCAGTGAATTTCCGTTGTCTAAAGAGTTATAAATTCAAGTTTGCAAATGTCCCCAAACCAAAACAAATAGGGGCTGGAGTGCCTGCATTTCCTTGAGGGTGGGAAGTTTCATTTGCCTGTTCTGAATAGCAATTCATTTTTCATCAAGCCAACTATTGTTGATACTAGGTTGAAGTATGCAGCTCTGGTATGCTTGGAAAACACTACCATTCTTTTAAATTGCAAGCTGGTGGTAAATTTGAGGGCCCACTCACAGGACAGATGGCATTTTGTGTTTTTCTTCCTTTTTTTTTTTTTGATTTCTTTTGGCCTAGTGATAGGAATTAATTGTGCAAAGGAAAAATGATGCTGATAAGCTCTGGGTGATAATGCACAGTTCTGATATAGTATAGCCAGTTTATTGAAACGAAGCATGCTTTCTTGTCCCCTTGGACTTCACCAGTTTCACATGACCAAAGATTACTGGAAGAAGTTCATTTTAAGTCTTTCTTGACTGTTGGATTTAATCCTTCCTTTTTTTTTTCTTTAAATGTATTTCTAACAGTTTTGTTTCAGATTAATTTCAGCTTTAAAGAAATCAAGACTTTATAGAAACAGAAGAAGATATGAATTGCCTCCCCCTTCCCTTCCTCTCCCAAGATCGAGATGTGTGCTGGCTCCTGGCTTTTGCAGTGCCCATGCCATAACAGGATTATAAATTGAGGAACTTGTGTACTTGTGTCCTGAACAAAGTCATAGCCTCTGCAGAGGAGGGATTGAGGAGAATTCCACATAAACTGCAAAAAAATATCTTCAGAGCTGCTGAAAGCTTAATCCTCTGTAGACCGCCTTGATAGACTCTTACCTTCCTCATTAATACTCTAGAGGAATGTCCTCCAGAAGAGCAGTGGGAGGTGATAAATGGCCATGAGGTGTTACATTTTTCTTGGATAAGATGAGGAGCTCAGAATTAAATCTGAAAAGGGAGATTGTTATATTGTATGGGCTTTACTTTTTCATAAATCTGAAAGGGTGAAGGAGCTCTGTTGAAACATTACACACTCCCCACAGTCTTTCTGCAGAGAGGAGGTGTAAAATAAATTTACACCAAAATGTGTTTTGGCTTGGGAAGAGAGAGGTTTGTGATGAAAAATTGTGGCAGCCATCTGCTCCTTGGCTTTGGGCTGAGGTCCTGAAGCTGGGTACAGTGCTGTGGCTGGGAGCTGCCCTCTGTGTGTTGTGTACCCTCTGGCCACGTGCGTTCTTTGTGCTGTGAAGTTCCCTGTTGCGAGAAAAGTGTCTGTTTATCTTTGTTCTTCTGTGTTTTGATATTTTCTGTTCTTTTCATTCTTCAGATATGAATCCCCAAATATTGCCTTACGTTGTGGAATTATGCTGAGAGAGTGTATCCGACATGAACCCTTGGCCAAAATCATACTCTTTTCAGAACAGTTCCGAGACTTTTTTAAATATGTGGAAATGTCAACATTTGATATTGCTTCTGATGCCTTTGCTACATTCAAGGTAAATGATTCAATACCTGCACCATAATGTTGTGTTAAAAATGGTACTCCATCAGTAGTCATCACTGAGTGTTGTGTTGCTTTGAACTGGGTGGCTTTTTTATAGTTCAGTAAAGGATGTAATTAATTCTTGGTCTGATTGTAACAGGATTCACAACAGTGATCAAGTCTGCAAAGAACCTTTAGAGGAATGGAAACCCATATTTAATTAACGTTCTTCATCTTGATAACCCAAGGTCTTTCATACAACTGTTTAAAACTCAAATTAATCATATGTTACATACAGTTCCTCTAAAGTGCATGACCTTTTTCTTTCCCTACCTTCCCCCGCAGACAAAACCACTGCCCATTGTGACCACAACCACAACAGAAGGCATCGTTTAAAAGTAACTTTTGAAATCCTTGTAATTTTTGCTGTCCCTTCTGAGTTCAGCAGTTAGGTCTAGATTAATGCTATGCCTGCTGATTATTTTACAATGTATTCATAATCTTACTTTTGTGACCCATGATTCAGTGTAAGGACCGTACTGCTAAAAGCTGAGTAGGTGGAAGAACTGCATAGACTCTGTATAGAGTCTGTTTTGTATTAAAAACGAAGTTGGGTGAAGCCTGCCAAATTTCTTGGAGTTTGTATGTGACCATCCTCATTCCCTAAGGGACTAGTATAGTCTTTGAGCAAAATTTGGTGCCATGGGCTTAATGTACAGGGAAGAATTATTTATTTCTGAAAAACAATTTAAGAAAGCTGGGGAAAATTCTTTTTAGTTAAATACACTTCTAAATATATATGTAACTCCTTTTTTTCTTCTATCACTGAGCTCCTTGCTGTCATAGAAACACATTGTTTATTCTTTCTTTATAAAGCTAATTAGAAACATGATTAGATAGACCTTTGGAATAACTGTAAGGATCGTTAGAGTTCAGCTCAGTGATTACACATATACTGAAACCTGTCTTTTTTGCATTCTTCAGTAATGACTTGAGCAGGATTACCAATTCACACCACCAGCTAATCAATAGCAGCATCTTTCCCTTATTTTAAGTTTCAATGTTGTGGTGTCCATTAGGTAAATCTTACAAAAATCAAACTAGCTAGAAGCACAGACAAGTAATAGTACAGTGTAGGACTCTATAAAAATGCAACATAACTGAAATATATTTAAGTCTTCTGTTTGTGGCATTTTACCCTATGCTCAGAAGAATATTTGTCTGTGGTAAGCAAAAGTGCTCCTGGACTCAGTTC